GGGGAGGACTGGGGTGGCTCTGCAGGCTCCTCGGGGTGGAAGCTCTCCTGCAGCCCCCCGATTGACCCACCTCCCTGGATGGCAGCCTGCAGCAAGTGCACCTGGGCTGATGGCTGAGTGCTGTGATGTGCCGAGTGTGAGCACTCAGGGCACTCTAAGCCAGGACTGCTTTGCTGTCCCTCATCGAGTTAGACAAGCGAGCGGGGAACCCCTGAGAACTGTCTGTCCGGGGTGGGGTCGGGTCCCTTTAAGCACAGCCCTCGGCTAGCCTGAGACAGCAGCTCCACACTCTAAGTCCTAATCTGATGCCCTGCCGGCACTGCTTCCGGCCATCCTTAACCTCGGTTCAGGGTCCACTCAATGTAGACATGCTAGTTCAAATTAGCAAAACGCTAATTCGAACTAGTTTTTAGGTCTAGATGCACTAGTTCGAATTAGCTTAGTTTGAATTAACTAATTCGAATTAAGTTAGTTCGAATTATTGCTGTAGTGTAGACATACCCCCACAGACTTGTTCCCTCCATTTATGCTACTCAAGAAGACAAGAGGAGACCTTACTATTTTGCAGATCATCGCTTGGAGGAGGGGAGTGGGTTAGATGTTCCTCCTTTTGCTGTCTTCTGTCCACAGCTGTGAGAACGTTGGCAAGTAAAATCTACCAGGCTAATATATTTACTTGCTGAAAATGAGAATGACAAAAACTTTTTTCCCTTGTGTGAGGGAAGCTGAATTCTTACTGCTCTTCTTCAATATGTCAAATTGAAAAGGGTCCATTTATATTCAGTTCCTATTTACATAAATGTGTGACTATGAGAAAGATAACATGCCAGGAGCAAACACAGAAATATATACTTAAGCAGTTATGGGGAAGTAAATGTTCAGCATTTTGTTACTTTATGCAAACCTTTCTTTTAGATAAGGCGGAACAGTCACGAAAGCCAACAGTTAAAACAACTCCAAAGGATAAAAATAAATTACTATGAGAAATGCAATTCTATACCAGCTGGCAACTAGAGTGTAGGCAGTTATTAGTACATTAAACGACTGAGCAAACATTCTCTGACCTGTGGAAAGTACAAAAAACTTTTTAGGGAATGTTACTGCACAGCAGAATTTCTAGATTAATGATATATATTAAAATGATATATATTAAAAATATATTAAAATGAGTTTCTGGAGTGCACATTGAAAACAAAGAGCAAGTGGAGACCAATAGAATCAGCCACTGCTTATGATAATTATTGACATCCATCTTTCAAAATATGCTAAGCTTTTTGCTTCTTACACATTGTACATTTCTTGCTGTATTCCAAGAATCCCCCAAGCAATTCATGATTCACAAATGTACACCTTCAGCATCAAGACATTTGTTTCTCTTTGCATAATAATCACTTTTATTTTAATGGTTTCTGAAATCTCATTTGTGCATTTTCATTAAAGAAAGATACTTGTCTCTAAAATATCATCAAAATATGTGCCACACAATCAGAAAATGAAACTCTTGTGGGTAATGAATGTATTATTTGCAAGAATATTTCCAACATCACAAGCATACATATCCACAGTAATGAACCATATAAACAGAAAAATTTCACGTGCATGAATGTTAGGCAGCTATTCTTTAGCTGTGTTCTTATGTTTTCCTATCATAATCTCTGGTACAGAAGAAACTCATGGTTATGATCATGGCTATATATTGCTTGGGAATAGCTGCTAAGTATGTATAAGGATGTGATAAATCATTAATTTACATGCAGTCTATAATCACATTTGGCAAGTATTTGTATCCAGCACAAGACTGATCACAACCCCCACAATAAGATGGAATTGTGCTAGATAGGGAAGCCATCTGAATCACTTCAGTCCTGAAGTAGCGTGACTTAAGAAGGCTTTCCAGATAAGGCATTCTCTATATTATCTGTCTGTATTATTGGCCTATAGGATGAGGGACAACCAAAGACAGAGTGGAAGAGGATTTCAACATCCACAACAATGTGAATCCAGTGACCAGAGTTCATATACAAGTAGCATGGTGGAAGAGAAGGACGAGGGCTAGGCTAACATTGATAGACATTCACAATTTATAAAATTGTAGGTGCATAATTAGAGGCCAGGCTGATGCCCCATTAAAAAAAATGGCATATACAATCAGAGGACAACATAGAGTTTCTTAAATATATATCTCTTCAGTTTATAATTTTATTATTATTTTAAATAGGTTTTGTGATGAATCTCAAAACTTAAGTTTATTTGCCCAATGACTTTTTCAGTCAAAACTTAACTTCTTTGGTTAAGAAAGAATCAGCAAATTAATAGGGCCACTACAAACAAGTCCAAGTATAGTCTGTCATGCCCAGATAGTATAACAAAACCTACTTCTCCTTATCAGGTTTTTTGAATGGTCTCTTTGAATATGTGTTAACTTCATATGCTAAATAATCTGTTCCATCTTGTGTTTAGTTGGCATATTGAGTATCTTTCCCAGACCAGACAAAGAGCTATGTGTATCCTGAAAGCTTGTCTCTTTCATGAACAGAAGTTGGTCCAGTAAAAGATATTATTTCACCTACCTTGTATCTCCAATAAAACCCATTTAACCTTGGTGAAAATGGAGGAACAGAGCTGTGAGTGAAATAAAATGACATTCTTTAATACAAAATATCCTTAAACATGTGGCCATAAATAAAGGATATAAAAGCAGATAAATAAACAGCAGAAACAAAGAATTAAAAACAGAGAATGGGATAAGAGGAGAAACTTCATTCAGATGTAGCAGATAACATACTGTTTTTAAGAACTAAAAACAGGAATAGTTCGAAAACATTATGGGAGAAATCCTGGCCATACTGAAGACATTGACAAAGCTCCCACTGGCTTAAGTGGATCCAAAAAAAATAGAACTCCAGCTGGAGCATACCAAAAGAAGAAACACATGTCCCTGTTGTAGGCATACAATATAATAATCACTGTGATCTCAAAACTGGAGCCAGAGTGAATGCAGTGAGCAGCGAACAGGGAGCGCCAACAGGGGAGTTTGCCTGGGAAACATTCGAGAGGAGCTCAGGTAAGTGTAGCTTTTGGGAAGTGTATTGTGAGCTGGTCGGGTGAGTATCAAAGTGTTTGTCTGTCTGTGGGGATTTGTTTGACTGTGTGTTTGGCAGTTTGAAAAGAGCAGCATTTGGAAAAATGTGAATTGGGTGTGCTTTGTTCCAGGCAAGCCTTCAGGGGCTGATTGCATCAGAGGCAAAGCTTTGAGCCAGGCCTACCCTCAGCCTTATAAAAAAGGCAGCCAGAGCAAACGCAGTGAGCAGCCAACAGGGGAGTTTGCCTGGGAGTTCACTTGGGGGGAAGCCTCATAGTGTTTGGTGGTCTTTTTTTTATTTTGTTTCTCTCCTGCCCTCCTTCCTCTGTGAAGGAAGGCAGAAATGGTTAGTGATAGGTCTGCTGTAGTTACTTGCACAGCATGTGCTATGTTTATCTTCCTCCCAGATGATAGAAGGGATTTCATCTGCACTAAGTGCAAGCTGGTTGCCATTTTTGAAGAAAAAATTAGAGGACTTGAGGCCAAAGTACCACCACCCCCAAAAGAAGAAGACGGGTGTTGGTAGTAGAGGATTCCCTCCTAAAAGTAACAGAGTAATTCATCTGCTGTCCAGACTTGGAATTGTGAGAAGTGTGCTGCCTTCTAGGAGTTAGAATTCAGGATGTGACCAAGAGTCTTCCAAAACTGATCAAACCTTCAGATCGCTCCCCTTCCTGCTTCTCCATGTGGGAACTAATGATAAAGCTAAAAAATGATCTTGAGTGGATCACAGCAGATTATGTACTGCTGGGAAGAAGGATCAAGGAATTTGAAGCATGATTGGTGTTCTCGACCATCCTCCCTATTTCAGGAAAAGGGTGAATCGTGGAAGTAAATGTGTGGTTGCGCAGGTGGTGTAGGAGAGAAGGCTTTGGTTTCTTCAACCTTGGGACTCTGTTCAGGCACAAGAATTGCTAGGAAGAGATGGTATCCACCTAACCAAGAAAGGAAAGAGCATCTTTGTGGGCAGACTTGCAAACCTAGTGAGGAAGACTTAAAACTGGGTTCATTGAGGGACGGTGACCTAAGCCTTGAGGTAAGCAGGGATTTGGGATACTGGGAAGAAACACAAGGAGAAAGGAGCAACAAAGGAGGACCTCTGATTTGAATGGATAAGGTAGGGCAATCAACTAGACAGCTAAGGTGTTTGTATACAAATGCAAGAAGCCTGAGAAACAAAAAGGAAGAATTAGAAGCCCTAGCACAGTCAAAGAACTATGATTTGATTGGAATAATGGAGACTTGGTTGGATGACTCACATGACTAGAGCAGTGTCATGGAAGGATATAAACTATTCAGGAAGAACAGGACGGGGAGAAAAGGAGGAGGAGTTGCATTGTATATAAGAGAGCAGTATGATTGCTCAGAATTCTAGTATATAGAGGGAGAACAGCCTGTTGAAAGTCTTTAGGTTAAGTTTAGAGGCAGGAGCAACAGGGGTGACTAGGCTTCCTAGTCCGAACTACCATTACTCCTCGTTTCACTAGGAAGCCTAGTCCGAACTACCTAGTCCGTTCCGCGTGTAGCCGCGCGGCACGGAGTCCGCACTAGCGGACATTTAAAAATGGCGGCGCCCGGCTTTATGCAAATGAAGCCCGGGAAATTCAAATCCCGGGCTTCATTTGCAACTCCGGTTGCCTACATTACCACCCTAGTTCGAACTTGGGTGGTAGTGTAGACATACCCAGGGGCTGTACCATTTGACTGGAGAATTGCTAATATAGTTCCGATTTTTAAGAAAGGGAAAAAAAGCGACCCGGGTAACTATAGACCTGTTAGTTTGACATCTGTAGTATGTAAGATCCTGGAAATATTGAAAGGTGAACTGTCAGGTTGGAGGAAGGTTACTAGCATAGTTCCTCAGGGATTAGTCTTGGGGCCAATTTTATTTAATCTTTTTATTGCTGATCTTGGCACCAAAAGTGGAAGTGTCTTAATAAAATTTGCGGATGACACAAAGTTGGGAGCTGTTGCCAATTCAGAAAAGGATCAGGATATCATACAGGAAGATCTGGATGATCTTGTAAATTGGAGTGATAGCAATAGGATGAAATGTAATAGTGAGAAGTGTAAGGTTATGCATTTAGGGATTAATAACATGTCCCTACATGCTCTAACCTCAATAAGGTAGCTTTCTTTACTGATCCCTCCCATTTTCCACTCCTTATATGCTTTCTGCTTTTTCTTAATCACCTCTCTGAGATGCTTGCTCATCCAGCTTGGTCTAACACACCTGCCTATACATTTTTTCCCTTTTCTAGGGATACAGGCTTCTGACAGTTTCTGCAACTTTAACTTAAAATAATTCCAGGCCTCCTCCACTTTAAGGTCCATAATTTCTTTAGTCCAATCAACTTCCCTAACTAATTTCCTTAATTTATTAAAGTTAGCCCTTTTGAAATAAAAAACCCTAGTCTCAGATTTATTTTTTATTTTGTGGCACGAGGAGTAACTGCAGTTCGGAATAGGAAGCCATGTGTAGCTGCAGGGCACAGAGTCCGAACTAGCGGACATTTAAAAATGGCGGCGCCCGGCAACATGCAAATGAAGCCCGGGAAATTGAAATCCCGGGCTTCATTTGCAACTCCGGTTGACTACATTACCACCCTAGTTCGAACTAGGGTGGTAGTGTAGACATACCCTCTGAGAGTACTGAGGGAGTTGGCAAATGTCATTGCAGAGCCTTTGTCCATTATCTTTGAAAACTCGTGGAGATCGGGAGAGATCCTGGATGACTGGAAAAAGGCAAATGTAGTACCTATCTTTTAAAAAGGGAAGAAGGACAGTCCAGGGAAGTACAGACCAATCAGCCTTACCTCAGTCCCTGGAAAAATCATGGAGAGGATCCTCAAATAATCCATTTTGAAGCATTTGGAAGAGGGGGATGTGATCAGGAATAGTCAACATGGATTCACCAAGGGCAAGTCATGCCTGACCAACATGATTAACTTCTATGATGAGGTAACTGGCTCTGGGGATATGGGGAAGTCAGTGGATGTGATATACCTTGACTTTAGTAAAGCTTTTGATAAGGTCTCCCACAATATTCTTGCCAGCAAGTTAAGGAAGTATGGATTGGATAAAGGGGACTGTAGGGTGGATAGAAAGCTGGCTAGATTGTCAGGCCTAATGGCTGGTAATCAACGGCTTGATGTCAGGTTGGCAGTTGGTTTCAAGGGGAGTGCCCCAAGGATTGGTTCTAAGCCCAGTTTTGTTCAGCATCTTTATTAATGACCTGGATGAGGAGATGGATTGCACCCTCAGCAAATTTGCAGAAGACACTAAGGTCGGGGGAGAAGTAGATACACTGGAGGGAAGAGATAGGTCCAGTGTGATGTAGACAGATTAGAAGTTTGGACCAAAAGAAATCTGATGAGGTTCAACAAGGACAAGTGCAAAGTCTTGCACTTAGGATGGAAGAATCCCAAGCATTGTTACAGGCTGGGAACTGACTGGCTAGGTAGCAGTCCAGCAGAAAAGGACCTGGGGATAACAGTGCATGAGAAGGTGGATATGAGTCAACAGTGTGACCTTGTAGCCAAGAAGACTAATGGCATATTAGGGTGCATTAGATGGAGCATTGCCAGCAGTTCTAGAAAAGTGATTCTTCCCCTTTATTCTGCATTGGTGATGCCACATCTGGAGTACTGCGTCCAGTTCTAGGCCCCTCACTGCAGAAAGGATGTGGACACATTAGAGAGAGTCCAGCGGAGGGCAACCAAAATGTGTAGGGGGCTGGAGCACGTGACCTATGAGGAGATGCTGAAGGATTTGGGCTTATTTAGTCTACAGAAGAGAAGAGTGAGGAGGGATTTAATAGCAGCCTTCAACTTCCTGAAGGGAGGTTCCAAAGAGGTTGGAGAGAGGCTGTTCTCATTAGTGCTGGATGGCAGAACAAAGAGCAATGGTCTCAAATTACAGTGGGAAAGGTCTATGTTGGATATTAGGAAAAACTATTTCACTAGGAGGGTGGTGAAGTACTGCAATGGGTTACCAAGAGAGGTGATAGAATCTCCATCCCTAGAGGTGTTTAAGTCTTGGCTTGGCAAAGCCCTGGCTGGGTTGATTTAGTTGGGATTGGTCCTGCTTTGGGCAGGGGGCTGGATTTGATGACCTACTGAGGTCTCTTCCAGCTCTATGGTTCTATGATTTTAACTGCTTTTTTACTTCAGAGGATTTTGTTGTTGTTATTGTGTAAAGAAAGCAGGACCAGATTCCATTTAGTTAAAATTCTTAATTCTCCTTGCAGATTACTGAGGTTCAAATCATGCAGTCAGACATGTAAGTAATGGCTATTCATGGGGGCAGTATCCTTACATTGCAGCGGATGGGGCTGTTCATATGAATAAATGCTTGTGGCAATGGTTCTTTATTAAACACATGCACAGCAGTGTCTTTCTAAAGAAAATCCAACAAGTACATTACCATAGTAATTATTGTTGTTCAGATTTTAACACTCAATCTAGGCTACTTACAATTACCTGCTTAACAAATGCAGTATATTCACACAGAAGATAGTTAATATTCATACTGATTTCCTAGTTAAAATTACCCTGTAGGTCCCGTTATATTTTGTTTATGTAAAACTGTCTCTATTATTATTTGTGCTACATTCAATCTTCTGAGAAAGTGTGATACACTGAATCACAGAGGAAAGGTCTTATCTCATTAAAGCCCAGGTGATTACCTTAAGGATCTCCCATTAAATGCTACCCTGAGTTACATGTATAAATCCTCTGCACATTGTTGGAAGACCAGACCCAAACATGTTTGACGTTATTAATCTTTTGCCCAGCCTTTCACTATAAAATAAAATAATCTAAATAATGCAAATGACTAGGTAGCAAGTATCTCTTTACAGTTCTAAGATGATTAGTTACAATGGTTAAAACCCAAAACATTATTCTGTGATTCTAATATCTGACAACACTGTATACAACAAATTTCATTTCTCCCGTGTGTAGTCAAATTTTCCTTTGCTGAAGAGACTGTTATAAATATTAATGGGGAAGGAGAGAAAACACTGATGCAATTTTTAAAGGAGTTTTTAAAAAATACTAGGACATACAGTTGAAAGGATTCTCTTAAAGAAAACTTTTTTCTTTTATAATTAGTCAATTTAAAAATAAACAAGATGGAAGTGCTCCTTTAGGTCAAAAAGGTTTGTAGACAAAAACAAATAACTGCAGACAACACACAAATAGCTTGTGTTCTGCTGAAGGATTGTCCCTGGTTTCTCTATGAAGCACAGGCATTGGTAACATCCACTTTTCCCTGGCCTCACAATTTTTATCCCTGATACTGGCCAATGGCATACTTGCATTCCAGTATATTCTTGTTTTAAGCTTCTCAGAGTTCCCTGAAAAGAGACATTTTTCAGTTGTCAGTCACTGTAGCATCTTCTACACTAGATGCCTACTTAAAGTATACACTGAATAATAGGCAGCAGATACAGACCACAACTACTTGAAAAGGTGCAATCCAAAGTCTCTCTTGAACTGATAGTATAGTTGCTTTTCTGTGTTAGAAAGAACAAGAGTTTCCTTGATGATAACCTTTCGTAAGAGCCGTAGTCTGTGCAAAATCCTCAGTTTCTGAGATGCTACACACATATCCTAAGCTGTCTTCTGATCTGTCCTCAAAGGCACTTTTCCTGCTTACCTGTTGCTGCCTTCCTTCTCCATGCTGTTCACTGAAATCTGTCCTGCTATAGGTTACATAGAGATGGAGAGGCTTTTTTGTGTGTGCCCTCCCTCTTGCCTACCCACAAGGGCCAATAAGAATGTGACCATTTGTGTTTCTTTTATAAAAGAAACAATGAAAGTAAACAAGCTTAAGCATAGAAGGCACTTACTTTATGATTCTCTCAGGTTTTCATCACACTTACATTAATACAGTTTCTAATAAGAATAGTGGCAAAAATATGCATTTTACTATTTATTAGATAAAATAATCTCATTTACATGAGTTCTTTCTTACGAACAGCATCTTTCTCTTCCCACTCATGGCAAGTAAGAAAGAGATTCCATTCCTACTCTTTTTCTTTGAGTCATGTTCATGACCACCAAACTGAGATGGGGCTTGTGTTCTGAGCCTCAAGGTCCCTTTGACTTCCAGATATGAAATCCTATATTTAGTGACTTTGTATAATAGAAAGGATTGGCACAGACTGAATTGTTAGAAAATTGCACAGTTGAATGTTTCTGGTCACTCGTTTTTAAAGATCTTTGATCAAGAATTAGGTAATTAAATTATTGCCAGTCCTGTACATTGTTTAATAAGCTATCATCTTTCATAGCATCCATTAAAACAATATTTCTTTTATACCTAATCAAGTATTTCTCATTCATGGAAATACAGGAATCACTAGGACATTTTCTCTAAAATTCCACCCCCTTTATTTTATTTTATTTTATTTTATTTTATTTTATTTTATTTTATTTTATTTGTCATTTGAGACGTAACCATTTTTATATAATGAAATTGGACCTTTTACCTTTGAAATGTAATTGGATCTTTGAACACATCGTTACACAAGTTCCAAATCAGATTTTTTGTGGGAGTGTATTGTTTTTAAATTATGTATAGTAATGGCAATTACTGACTTACTTTATACACACAATCTGTTGTTACAGTAAGATGGAATGTGAAGAAAAGTTACCACTATCACACTGACTGATTTATTTTATTTTATGACAAATATATCTACAACTAGCCTCTCTTATATGAATAAAGACATAATTTCCCTGTTACCTTTGAGTCAAACAATGCTAAATGCCAATGGCCTCACTCTAAAGTAATAGTATCAGAGGCAGCAAGCCAAATTGTTCCACAGTATGCAATGACACGTATATTAGGCACCTAACAGCCTTTGAAGATTTGCGCATTAAAGACCATTGTCATTTAATGCACACACACACAAATAGATTTGGGACATATTCTCCTATTACTGTAAGATCATTTAATGGGAATTTTGAAGCACATAAAGGGAGAACACATCTATTTTTTCTGCCCAATCAATCTCTTTCTTACCCAGTACAAAACCAAAGCTGGTCTTCTGAAACCAAAATATAAAACACTGGGCTGGGATTGATTAGGTAGGACTGGGACTTGCACCAACGATCTCGGGTCTCAGAATGACACTAACAAAAACAACAGGTAGTTTACTTAATGAAGTTGTTAGAGTACATATAATTGTGCTATAATTATTCAATATTTACAAGCTCTGGAGAAATTATTTAGTGGAGGATTCATTTTCTATGACAACCAGATCAACAACAAGTAAACCCATATATCTGCTATAATATAGTCATTTATACACATAGGCTACGTCTACACTGGCGGTTTCTTGCGCAAGAACTCTTTTGCGGAAGAGTTATTATGCAAAAAATCCACACTGCCATGTGCTTTTGCGCAAGAGATGTGCTTTTGCTCAAGAGCATCCATGGCAGTGTAAATGCTCTCTTCTGCAATAAAGCTCTGATGGCCATTTTAACCATAGGGGCTTCTTGCGGAAGGAATTCATGTTGCCTGTCTACACTGCCCTCTTGTGGAAGAGCTCTTGCACAAGATGGCTTATTCCTTGTGGGGAGAGGAATAACTGTTCTGGAAGAAGCCCTGTTTTACAATGCTATACTGTAAATATACTTGTGCAAGAACGCTCATGCAGTGTAGACAGCAAGCAAGTTCTTGCACAAGAAGCTGCCAGTGTAGACATAGCCATAGTGTTTTCATGGTCCTCTCGTGGTGGTTCTAATTATAGTACTAACTGCTATAGAAGATGTTTTGGCATTACTCTACCCAGAATCCTTAAGATGAAGCTGATTTGAAATGATTTCATAGAGGAAAAATAAAGTATGATGAATTATTAACAGTAAAAATTTAAGTTCTTTTTTTTCTTTATAATACATGTATGTGCATAGTCTTAAAATTTTCAACTGAAAGAATCAAGTCAACTTTTGCTTTCATTCTGGACAAATTGAGGCCAAAAATATTAATACATATGCAATACAATTAAATTATCTTATTGATCTTATACAGAATATACCTGGTTGACTTAGATTATGTGAAAACTTGAAGTTATATAAGAAAATAGATATGGAACTAATACCTCTTATTTTTCAAAAGGCCAGAAAAGACAACAATGCTGACTGAGTTAAACCTCCTGTATAACACAAATCCACCATGCATAGCCATTTCCAAACTGTGAGCTATGAGGAACTGGATAGTGGTCTTCAGAGAGCTCAATCACATGGTGCTGACCTTCTCAATTCCCCGTTGCCCCCACCTGACATAGCTGGAAGCAAAGAGGAACCAGTTAAATGCAAAGACAGGAAAAACAGGAGCTACCATCACAAACTAATATAGCAGCGGCTGTAGCTGTTATCCCCTCATTGTGAGAGGAATGTTCCAAAGAATAAAGGAGAAGGAAATGAGGCAGATGGGAATCATGGCCAAGGAAGAAGGAACCAAGGACCAAGGAAGTGGGTAGAAAGAGGAGTACCATTCAAAAACCAAAGGATGTAAAAGGAAAAAGTAGAAGAGAACTTATAGGAGAAAAGTAGCAGGGGGAGAGACAGGACAATGTGAAAGGAAAAGGAAAAGAAGACACTGTGATTAACTTTTTTTCTAAAAGGATCTAACACTTGTATCTCTGAAGACAATGCAAGTACATTCGCACTTACCAGTTACCACTCTGCATGGTCAGTGCCTGCTTTATCTTCCCCAAAGATGTTATGTGTATTTGTAAATGGGAATAGAAGTGCTCTATAAGTCTACATCTAGACAGTGGGTCTATTTCAGGATACTGGAAGTATCCCAAAATAGCAATTCCGTGTCTTTAAATGTGCCCTTTATTTCAAAATATATTTTGCATAGAGCAAATTGCATAGCTTACTTTGAGATTTGAGTGCTGTGTAGATGCGCCCTATGAGAAGAAGACTGACTCTGATTTTCTTTAGAGGGTGTAAATCCACAGTAATGCCACTGTAAAACAAGTGTCCATGAAAGACAGACAAGGGAAAATCTATTAAGGAGCAATCACCCTATAAAAAATGTTGAGAACTTACACCTAGTACACATGTGTTGTTAAATAGTATTTTGGTAGACTTTCACATTCTACAAATACTTATTTGGGAATGTATACCCAGACCCTTGACATTTTAAAATTACATTTTTAAGAAGGAAAATCCATAGGCTAGCTATTGCTCTAACAGGAAAATAACGTAATGTATAACATTTCACCTACATACTACAAAAGTGATTCTTCAATATTTTTTGTAAAAAAAAATGAAAGACTAATAAAACTTCCAGTTTTCAAATAATCCAGCACACTTGTCAAAATACTCTCTGACTTCCAGACCTCCCACTTTGATATAATTAACTTGAATGAGCTTCTCTTCATCATGAAGACAAAGGTGGGAAAAGTGATGTAACTGTAATCCATCTAGCACAGGTTTTGTACAACCTCTTTCTTATAACTGACTTCACTCACTGATTAATAGACACTTTCCACTTCAGACCTTAATTAAAAACTATAAAAGCAGTCAGCTGTAGGCCATGAATGTGCTGGTGACAAAAAAAAGTGCCATTTTATTGTAAGAAGATCAAGCACTGTACAAATTTAGTGTGAAACCATGTTAAGTATGTCCATATGCCTGAATTAAGTGCAATTCTGAGATTTACTTGGTTTCAATGGGAATACTAAGAATAAAATATCCATTAAAATCAGATAAAATGGACTTTAATTCAGAGGACATCTAAGGTACGTCTACACAGCAGCGTTATTTCAGAATAACTTCACTTATTCCAAAATAATGTATTGGGCGTCTACACAGCAATTTATTTCAAAATAATGGGCTTCTTACTCTGACTTCTGTAAACCTCAGACTTCTGTATGAGGAGTAAAGGAAGTCAGAGTAAGGATGCTCTATTTTGAAATAAGTGCTGTGTAGATGTGCGCAAATTCAAAATAAAGCTATTTCGACTTAAGCTACACAATGAGCATAACTCAAATTGCGTAGCTTATTTCGAGTTCAGCCAATACACCTACTGAATTTCAAAACATCAAAATAAGAGAACTTTGTAAGTAAAGTTTTCAGTTTTCAAGTTTTGTGGTAAATATGATTTGCTAAAGTGTGTTGAATCTAAAGGTTAGCTTATTATCGATTAGAGCTTTGCTAATAATATAGAACAAATAATTGACCCAGTCACATGTAGAATACACTATTTTTCTGTTACCTGATTGTACTAGTTGAACCTCTTAAATCTGGGACTCTCTGGTCCAGCAGTATCTGTGGTCTGGCAAGATCACGTATGTTGCTAGACCAGAGAGTCCTGGAGCCAGGAGTGCGAACAAGTCAGAGAGTCCAGCGGAGGGGACCCCCACCATCAGACCAGTAAGTCCCATCACCAGAAAGCCCCAGCCAGGTAGGGCAGCAGTGGGACCAGCAATCTCTGTCCCTGCGGAGACCTCTCCTGGTGCAGCAGCAGTTGGACAGCCATGGAGCCCATTCCAGGGAAGCCCCATTCCAGCAGCAAGGCCACAAGCAGCTGGTGAGACCGTCCCCGGAAAGCTCCATTTGGGAACAGCAGCAGTGGGGCAGTCACAGAGCCTAGTCCATAAGAAGCCCTGGGCAGGACAGAGCAGAGCAGAGCAGAGCCCTGTCCCTGAGAAACCTTGGTTGGGCGAGGCAGAAGCGGGGCCCTGGTGGCTGGGGAGCTCTGTTCCCAAAGAGCCCCAGTTGTCTGGACGCAGCATGCTAAACCCAAGCCCTGTAGTAGCAGGGCTGGAGCCCAGTGGCAGTTGAGCTGGAGTGGAGCCAGCCAGAAGAAGGGGTCGGTGTCAGGGGATCTCCCCAGATCGTGAAAATTCCCTCATTCAGGATTGGTCAGGTCACGAGAGTGCTGGACCACAGTGGTCCACCTGTATTAGAGTAATTCTTACTTTCTAAAACAAATAAAATTATACATTTAAAACTTGCTTTATATTTTGTAATAGTAATTTAAAATGTGTTTTCTCCCTCCAGTAAATTCACTTGTTTGACTTTTGTAGAAAACAAACAAAAGAGCATGAACACAGTGAAAGCAATTTGATTTATGAATTTCAAAACATATCTGTGGAAAACATTTAAGTTTTCAGACATCTCTATTGTAAGTCAAAGAAAAGATGACAGATACACAGCTATGAAGTCTACTGAAATCCTAGTAAATTGATATTGTTTAAAAGCAATTGTATTATTATCATAGTCCTTCATCAAAATGTATGTAGCATATATACTTTCTAAAGAATATCAGGGCCCAATATGATGATGGTGTGCCATGTATTCTGTAGTTTGAATTGATAAAAATAGAATAGGAAGTGATCTGCTGGTTGCCATCTGCATTCAATCTAACCTAAATATTTTTTAAAATCTCAGTGGGGTAGCTGTGTTAGCCTTTAGCTAAACAAACTTAAAAAATAACAAGAGTACAATAGTACCTTAAAAGCCTAAGCAAAAAATTTATAGATAGCTCATGATACTATCTATATAGTTTTGGTTAGTCTCTACGGTTCTACAGGATTCTTCTTGTTTTTTATGTTTTCTAAATATTTTAAATGCCTTTTACAGTGTAATTAAAGTATCTTCAAACACTGTACAATATTTGGTTAGCTACTAGTGCCACAGTAATTCATATTTATGGTAATTCTTGTTCAAAGCATTAATATGTAATATGTATATATTTGGGTTGAGCAAATATTGAATTTGTTTGGGGACCAAAATTTAAAAAAATCTAAAAGAACTTCAGTTTGATCTGAACTCAAATCTGTTTATCCTGAATGTTTGCTATTAAAATACTTGATCTTGAATCAAGGCAGAACATCTATAGTTCATTCAATAATACAATACAAAACAATACAATACAAATGCTATTTTTGTTTTGAATCGGCTGTTTGATATATTTTTCATCCTTCCTTAGTGTTGTATTTGTAATGACCAAATATCAGATCAAACCAGTTTCAAAACATTTTGAAACTAAATGGTTAAAAAGTTATGAAAGAGTGGGCACAAAACATTTCAAGTTTCTTCTCCCCCTCCCCCCTCCCGCCCTCCCCAACTGAAGTATTTTGTCATATTTAACAAAGAGGGATTCAATTTTTGGGGACTCAAAAAAATTAATGAAAAACTATTAATCAAAAATATTTAATCCAGCTCTAATGCATATTGTCAAATAATAATACAGTTAAAAATATGCTGAGTTTATGTATGCTCAGAAAATGAATAATCTATCCCAGGATTTCAGATTCTTCCCATTCAGAAGATGAGGCAGACAGATACTTTTCTATTTCATTTAGGATACAAGTACTGAAATAGTTTTCCAAAATCCAGTTTGAAACTATATATTACTATTTCATAATCCCTCCTTCATTTATATATCTTTTTAGGGAAAAGAAGATAGATTCCATTTTGTTTTGCAAGTAGTGGGTTCTTTGTAGAAACATTTCTTCATAGCCAAATAAGAAGACTGATTATGATTTTTTTTGAGTTTTTTCTTTTTGTGTGCGTAGTAGGACAAATATAGCTACATCAATATGAGCCCATATGTAATTTGGATTGACACTTGGAACACATGACCAGATTTCTTTGATTGACAGTCTTAGCGTCTGGTCATAGCATGAAAACATTCAACATGTTGCAGCTAGACTGAATATATATATATTCTTGCTTGCCGTTTTATAGTAGATAATCTGACTATAAAGTTGTACTAAGCTGATTTCTGTGATTCTGAATATGTGGGCTTACAGAATTGTAATTTCTTCTGTTTTCTTGATATTAAATATGTCTGTTTAAAAACATACTCATTGGGAAATGCATACCTATTATATATAAATTAAATTTGAATTACAGTGTAGTGTATCTGGGGCACCTGGTGCTGGCCATTGTCGGCAGACAGGATACTGGACTAGATGGACCTTTGGTCTGACCCAGTATGGCTGTTCTTATGTTCTTATGTATCCTGCCATAATATCAGTTGGAAAGACTGGGAGATAAGTTGTGACTTCATCTTAATGCAATACTCATTCTTTACTGTACCATGGTTAGCTGAGGTTTTTTGAGGTGATGGAAAAATAACACACGGTGAAAAAGAATGGCTTTGACAAAGAAGACTGTCGGAGACAATGTAAGGGCTGAGCAGAGTCAAAGTCAAACAAACATATAAGGGAAAAATGTATGGAGTCTGAGAATTATAAAGAAAGTAATAATACAAAATATATATTCACAAAGGTCAGACTTCTTACTAAGAGGTATTTTCATTGACCAAATATAATAAAAGGTCATGGAGGAAGATGATATTAAAGGTAGATAGAGATCTGACCCAACTAATAAAAACTCGATGCAAGCTACGACTACAATTAACAAACAAGCCATACAGGTATCACATGAACTTAAAGACATAGGAATTTGGATCATATGTATCTGAACAAGCAAGGTGTTCCAAAGAATAAATGTGGTTCAGGGAAAGGCTCTTGTGTTTGTCCTGGGTGGATAAAAAATACAATTTTTATATTAGAAATATTATTAGAGAGAATCAGACATCAATGTCAGAAAATATCAGAAGCAAATTTATGTACTTTGATCACATTAAGTATCAAGATGGAAATAATATTGAGAAAGTGATTATGGAAGGAATGATGGTGGTTTACCACAGCAGAGGACAACTCAGCCAGGAGATAGGTGGCTGATGTGTCTCATGTCACTACTAAGTACTGAAAGTTAGTGATGGATAATGGAGTAAAAAAAGTCTCCTATGGTATCACAGATATTCAGACATGCATTAACTGATTCATTTAGGGTGTGTCTACACCGCACAATGAGAGCATCTACACAGCAATTCTATTATTTTGAAATAACAGGCAGCTTATTTAAAAATCTGTAAACATCATTCCACGAGGAATAATGATTATTTTGAAATAACTATTTTGGAATAGCAGTAATGAGGACGCGGCACTGCTGCTACTTCAAAATAGCTCTTCCCCCGGGCCATTCAAAGTAAGTACTCCCCTGTGGTTCTGTCTAATTCGAGGTAGCACGTCCACATTAGGAAAGCCTGCCTCAGACTAATTTTGAGGCTTCCCTGTAGTGTAGATGTGCTATTTCGAAATAAACTATTTCAGAAAAAATCGACATAGCTTATTTTGAAAAAAGCATGCTGTGTAGACGTACCTTTACATGCTTAATCAGGGAACCCCAAAGAGTTTAGTATATTAGATCCATGTGCTATTAAACCTATTAAGGCCCAGCCTACTGAACTAGGCATAAGCCTGATAACATTCTATTCATACAAATCTAATGTGCCTCCAAGGCAAACTACATCAATTGTAGTGCAGTTTAATCCCCCCTCTCTCCATTTAGTTGTCAGCTTTATCCTTCCAGAACTACCCTGCTAACCAAAACTTGTGAACTTCAATATTTGACAAGAATAATATCCATGTGATCAAGTGCAATATCACTTTCAGGGTATGTACACTACCACCTTAGTTCGAACTAGGGTGGTAATGTAGGCAACCAGAGTTGCAAATGAAGCCCAGGATTTGAATTTCCCGGGCTTCATTTGCATAAAGCCGGGCGCCGTCATATTTAAATGTCCGCTAGTGTGGACTCCGTGCCGCGCGGCTACACGCGGCATGGATTAGGTAGTTCGGACTAGGCTTCCTATTCCGAACTACCGTTACTCCTTGTTTCACGGTAGTAACCTTCCTCCAACCTGACAGTTCACCTTTCAATATTTCCAGGATCTTACATACTACAGATGTCAAACTAACAGGTCTATAGTTACC